GTCGGCCATAGCTTCGTTCACCCTTACACCTACAGCCACGCCCACGCCCTCCGCATAAGGCAGGCCCAGCCCGAAGTAGACCTCTCCGTCGTTCACCCACACGCCTACACCTACTCCCACGCCGCTCCGGTCGTCTCCTACGCCTATCCCTACACCTACAGCCTCGGCTACCGCAGAGGCTTCGGATTTTAACGGAAAACGCTTGGTGACGTCACCGTTATCCGTATGGATCTAGACTCCGTTTTGCACCACTCGTTATCGGGATGCAATAGACAATTTGTGGACTCCACGATCATTTCTCAATTAAAAAGTCTGTGAACTTGGGACTTTCTTTAACACCATGTGGATCCTACTCATAATCTATTCACATCCTCGTTTACACAACCTTTGTTAGTGTCATTATCATAAGCACTTCATTCGTACTATTTTCACAATCATCTTCTTAATCATCGTCGTCTTCATGGTGATTAGCATTTTTACACCATTTTTATACCATAATAATGCTTATTATGATAAAGAATGGTAATAACAACAATCAACATGATCATAGCTGCAATAAATACATATTCACTGTTTTTACGTTGAGACATCTGGGATAGCCTCTCAAGACAGCAAATAAGATTTACTCTTAAGAAAGGGACTAGAATTGTCAATTAGTTGACATCTAAAGGTAGAAACCAAACATTATAATGCCATAACTTCTCTCTGTCTGTCTGTCTCTCTCTCTCTCTCTCTCTCTCTCTCTCTCTCTCTCTCTCTCTCTCTCTCTCTCTCTCTCTCTCTCTCTCTCTCTTTTTTTTTTTTTTTTTTTTTTTTTTTTTTTGCTGTGAGGGGATATATGAACCCTCATAAAATTGAACAGAACAAAGGCAACGTAAGTTTAATGCATCCTAAACCAGACAACCTGCACGCAAGGTGTGAACCGTCGAAGCTTCGTCAATAAAGTAAATAAATAAGTGTAAAAGCAGAAGCAGAATCCTTACACGTTGGTTACACACACGAGCATAAAAACTTAGCATTACAGGATTAATAACATCGCGCGACATAATGATCTTGTAATCCTTATTCCGTTGTTATTATCATTATTGTTCTTGATGTTATTGCAATGTTGTGACTGGTATTCTTATCACCGTTATTATGATTATTCTATTCTTATCATAGTTGTTTTCTGTAGCTGTTATTATTATAATTATCATACATAACACATAAGTAATATAGGCATAATGCATACATTATTTATATATGTATATAGGGATAGATAGAATGATAGATATATCATATACGTCTGTTATATGCAATACATATATACACATATATATATATATATATATATATATATATATATATATATATATATATATATATATATATATATATATATATGCATGCAGCAGATATCCATAAAGACAAAAACAGTACATAGATACATATACATACAAATACACACACACATATATATACATACAGATATATGCATGTATGCATATGTGTGTATATACACATACAAGGATACATATATACTTTTATAAATATCCATCTCTCTCTCTTCTCTCTCTCTCTCTCTCTCTCTCTGTATATATATATATATATATATATATATATATATATATATATATATATATGTGTGTGTGTGTGTGTGTGTGTGTGTGTTGTGTGTGTGTGTGTGTGTGTGTGTGTGTGTGTTTTATATTAAATGTATATATATGTATATGTACATAAAGACAAAAATAATACATAGATACATATATATACATACACACATATACATAGATATGTATGCATATGTATGTATATACATATACGAGGATAACATATATTCTTTTATAAATATCCATGTATCTTTCTCTCTTTATTATATATATGTGTGTGTATGTATTATATAAAATATACATATTCATATGTATACGTTCATGTAATATATATAGATATCAAATATACATGTGTGTATTTACACACACACACACACACACACACACACACATACACACATGTAAATATATATATATATATATATATAATATTATATTATGTATGTATGTATGTATGTATATATATATATATATATACATATGTATACATATAAATCACATATATATGTCCTTGTTCATACGTGCGTATGTGTGTTTGTGTGCATCTATGGAACTCGAATTTAATTTACATGGTGTGCTACACTTATCTGATTTTTTTTTTTTTTTTTTTTTTTTTTTAATGTGCGAGTGTATGTATGTGTGCGTTTATCCGTGTATGCCAAAAATGCTTTTAATTCTTCGTACTATGTCATTCGCTCCCATCGTTGATTCCTCCGGAGGTCAGCCGTCCTGCAAGTCCAAGAAATTTAGCGACTTCCACCGACACACACGTTCACTGGCAATCGCAAAAAGCAACAAACATGAAGTCATTGGTTAGTAATTTCTATAATTCTTAACTATGTATTACTTAATGGGATCTTTTTTTTCACACCAAATTGGGATTTTTAGAAGATTTTAAATTCTTATATACTGCTAGTGTAACTGGAACCCAAATAATGTTAAACTTTAACCCGTTCCACTTGAATAAAAGGTGGTAAATTACAAAAAAGAAAAAAAAGAAAAAGAAGAAAACTCTTGCAGACAGTCGTCGGAACAAGATGAATCCTTATTAATTTAGCAATTTTCTCCAGTGGAGAAGCGAGAGGCGGACGCCGACCCTAGCCTCCCCTTCTACGGTCAGACTTATGGCTACCCTAGCTACTACCGAGGCTACGGCTACCCATACAGCTACTCCCACGCCCTCCACAAGAGGTCGGCTGATCCTGAACCCGATGCTGATCCTTCCCTCCTGTACAATTACTACCCCCTTACTCTGCACGTTCGCCCTACACCTACGGCTATCCACAGCCACGCCCACGCCCTACAAGCCGAACAGAAGCTGACGCTCCGTTGTTCACCGCACTTACTCCTACACCCACGCCGCTCCTGTCGCCTCCTACGGCTATCCCTACACCTACGGCTATGGCTACCGCAGGGGCTATGGATATTAACTCTGAAGACACTTCGTCACTTGCTACCAGTAATAGCATGGATCTCGAATTCCTTTTTGCATCACTTGTTGCCAGGATGTAATAAATGTTCTCCCCAATAAAGCATCAATGAATTCTCCACTTTTGACTGGACCATATTCTTCGAAATATAAAACTATTATTTTAGCTTTATAAATTCCAGTAGTCAGTATTTATTTGCAAATTGTGGGACTTCCGTAGCATATTCAACAAAGCTCTGATCAAGCATAAGAAGGATACGAATACTGATTTAATGTTTTTGTTTCTTCAAAGATCTGACTACATCTGAACATAAATGCCGATTGGCTGGTGACTTCGTTGCCAGACGTTGAATGAATTTCGGAAAAAAAATATCTACAATCTCATTTCACACAGCACGGGCAAGTATCTACTTCCCTCTCTCTCTATGCTTCTTCCACCTTCTTTATCCCGCTCTGGGATTGGTCAGACACTCTTAGAAGGGCACGCCCTAACTGCTGTAGATGACCACTGACCAACGAGCCATCCTCCAGCGCTCGTGACCTCTGACACGCTCGTGACCTCTACACTTCTCTGCTTCCCTTCCTCTTCGCTTCCTCTCTGTGCTTCCCTTCCACCTTTTTATCCATCCATCTCTTTCTCTGCTCCCCCCCCCCCTCTCTCTCTTCCTCTTCACTCTCTACTTCCCTAAGCCTCTCCTGCTCTCTCTCTCTTTCTCTCTGCCTTGCATCCCTCTCTCATTCTCTTTTTTTTCTTTCTCTCTCTCTCCCTTTCAGCCGGTAAATGTACTCTTAAAATATTGCTCATCCAACATTTTCTAGCCTCATCTAGATAATGGAATATTTTATCACATGCTGCCTTTATGAAAAAACTTAATCTATTCTATACATCTCATCTCGTTCTGTCTGTCTGTCTGTCTCTCTGTCTCTCTCTGCCTTGTCCGCCCTCTCTTTTTCTCTGTTTCCGTCAGAATTGTGATAATTTCCATCGTGTTTGTGGAGGAGAAAGGTCTTATGACAGTAAGGCAGTTGACACGCATCGACCGATTGCACCATCGAAATATATATATTATTTATTTCGACTTTATATAGGCATGTTTCTAAACTTGAAAGCGAGAGAGAGAGAGAGAGAGAGAGAGAGAGAGAGAGAGAGAGAGAGAGAGAGAGAGAGAGAGAGAGAGAGAGAGAGAGTTCTTGATGTACAGAGAGTTAATGTCTGGTTGAATGTTTTTTTTTTTTTTTTTTTTTTTTTTTTTTTTTTTTTTTTTTTTTTTTTTTTTTTTTTTTTTTTTTTTTTTTTGTAGGGACATAAACCAATGAAGCTGGTCGCCCTCTATGAATTTATGAATGGATATTCCTGTATCATATTGACATTTTTGTTGAACGTTTAACCAGTTTCGTATAGGGGCTATGTAGACATTTATTTCCGAGACGTAAGTGAATGAAAGAGAGAGAGGGAGAGGAGAGAGCAGAGGGCGGTTATGCAGTTATGATTATTCATATTGCCGAGGGAGAGAGAAGTAGTATGATCTTATATATTTCCTTGATGCGATTCCCACAGCGCCGTGGGTAGACTGAGGTGTAGGACAGTTTCACCACACCTTTTGTGCCTGGCAGTGGCATACCCGCTGGCCAATCAGCAATCTATGACGTCACTCCTCCAAAACTCTGACGTCTCATGTCTGGGAAAGAGATGACAGCCTAGGATAAGCACATGGTTTATTTCTTCATTATCTAGATACAGAACGCTCTAAAAATATATCTAATGCATTTCTGTTGAAAAAATACAAGCATAAAATTCCTTTCTGATAGAAAAAATAAACTCAAAATAGACGTGCAGTGGACCCTTGGCATGTTGGTTTTCAGGCTCAGTGGGCGGAGTCTAAACGATGACGCAAAACAGCGAACTCTCTCTCTCTCTCTAGCTTGGGGAAATACTCAACGCGTTGTGTTTCCTTCGTCTACCAAAGACCATTATAACCTCCATGGCGGATGTAATAAGAGTGAGGAGAACGTGAATAATATTTCTTTCACTTTTTTCTCTTCTTCTTTCTCTCTCTCTCTTCTCTCTCTCTCTCTCTCTCTCTCTCTCTCTCTCTTCTCTTCTCTCTCTCTCCTCTCTCTCTCTCTCTCTCTCTCTCTCTCTCTCTCTCTCTCTCTCTCTCTCTCTCTCTCTCTCTCTCTCTCTTCTCTCTCTCTCTCTCTCTCTCTCCTCTCTCTCCTCTCCTCTCTCTCTCTCTCTCTCTCTCTCTCTCTCTCTCTCTGTCTCGTCTCTCTCTCTCTCTCTGCAAAGAAAGGGAAAAGATTAAAAGAATATGTAGAGTTCAAAATAACGATCCCTACTAGTTTTACAACAATTAAGATACGAGGAACTGTGCTAAGCTGACTAATAACCAAACGAAAAAAAAGCTCTTCCTATTGCCAGAACATTGCTGTACAGAATTCGATAAACATTTATTTGATTAAATGTCTATGTATTTGTTTATCAGATAAGCTTAATCAGTGAATCATGCCAGTATCTACTACGATCAAGTCTTCTTTATGGTGTATGTATGCTAAAGATTATTTTATTTTAATTTCAGCTATCTGGGTAACTAAAACTATTACACGTCACTTTCAATTTCTAATCCATACGAAATTAAATAATTCATTCTCAATTTGCAATAATACAACATGAATTAATATTCATGATACTTTTTCATTATAATGGATATCAATATTCGTAATATGTTTTTGTCTCGTTACACGTAAAATCCTTAACGAACACAAATACAATCAAGGTAATAATAGTTAATAATAAAACAGACAAACCGTAATACTCACTCAGACTTCCTCAAAACCTTGTAACAACTTTCACAATAAAGACGAAGAACACAGTGTGTGTATATTCTTACATTCGTATATATGTGTTAACCTTTATCATCATCTATGTATATTATACTTCGAATATATATATATATATATATATATATATATATATATATATATATATATGTATATATATATATATATATTATATATATATATATATATAGTATATATATATATATAATATATATATATATATATATAATTGTGTATATGTGCACTGTTCATAGATTGATAAATGATATCTGATACTTCCTCATGCATATATTACACATATGTATATGTATGTGTGTATATGTATAATATATATTATAATATATATATATATAATATATATATATATATATATATATATATATATATATATATACATAATATATATGTATATATGAAATATATACACTATATATATATATATATATATATATATATATAATATATTATATATATTATATATATATATATATATATATATATATATATATATATAATATATATATATATATATATATATATATATATATATATATATATATATATATATATTATATATATTATTGTATATATATAATATATTATATATATATATATATATATATATATATATGTATATATATATATATATATATATATATATATAATATATATATTATATATATATATATATATATATATATATATATTGAATTGTCGATTCAATGGGGGAAAGGTATAAGCAGTTTTATCATCACATCCTTTACTCTCCTCCCGCTCATAGGTATACTCAGAGCCAGGTATTAAAAGTCTCGTTTTATCAGGAAAACGAAGGTTGTAGCGCTAGATGAGTTAACTGATATAAATGTCAAATCCACTTGTAATGAACCGTGCTAATGGAGACAGCATCCTTGCTCTACTACAACCCACAGAGAAACATTTGTGGCAAGAACACGCCCTGACTCTCCGGACCTGCAGATATTTATTTATTTTTCTCTTATTTTTAAGGCATCTATACAGTGGAATTAGTCAATGGGGACAAATCTGACAGTGTCAAGAAATGATTTAGGAATGGAACTGAAATCAAATTAATTTGCTGGAAAAGGAAATCGAGAAAGGTAGAAGGGAATGATCGATTACTTATTCGTCTTAATAAATAACGAAAAGTGTTTTTTTTATGTTTATCTTCATGATTACTATTGATTTATAATTATTAGTCATAGGGAGGTTGTAGTCTTTAGCCTAGACATTTAAAGAAATAGAAGAGAATATTCCTTGTTTTTCTCATGTTTATTGCCATGAATTAAATGGTGATATGTCCTTTATTATAATTATATTTGTATCATTTAGAACTAGAAAAAAAGCTTGGTGTAATATGGGAAATTGTAAGGGACAGACCCACTGACTGGATGAGTCTCCTGCATCCGCCTTTCACACTTTCTTCTCTTCTATTCAGATGTTTCTGGAAGGCAATGTTTTATTCCATCATAAGGAATCCTTGGCGATTCATTGTCCTTGAAATGGGTATTCAATCCTCTGATTAAGATACTGTAGCTGTCTGAGAGGTTGGCTCTATGCTCTGTAAGTACAAACTAAGTATTTTGCAGTTATATCTGACCATGAAATGACTGCTGAAGCTCCTGTTACAAAGGAATCACCGATCCACTTGTTTATGACTGTTTAGCTTTACGTCCAACATCATAATTAGCTTTTCCTCTCCTTTGTCATTTCGTTATCTGTTTGTATCGTTCCTATTCCTTCGAAAGTGGAATGTATGTAACGAGTCTATTAGTCAAAGTTACATGTAGTATTGTCATTTATTGTTCATAATAAGCAACAGTAAAAGCCAGGAACTTATCTGAGATTTAATGAAACTATAAAATATGGTCGTTGTGTGTAAAATAGACTATTCATTAGCCTAGTGTCACGCTATATTGAAGACGAGACATATGGCTTTCAAATAAACAGAAATCAGTTGCATCATACTGAAATATTTCTGAATATACTGATTAACAGAATAGATTATAGAAACAACATTCTTTGCAAACAAAAATGCAGAATTCACTGCCATTTTAGAAGAGGTGGTTATTTTGGGCTTGAAGTAGTAGATATACTTGAATTCCCTTCCAATGTCCACAATGGCAAATCTGAGCACGAACGTCTATGCTAAGCTGATACCACATGATTAATCTGCATGACTGTCAAAACGTTTTGGATGAATAAATGCAATTAAATATACAGACGTGCACAACAGATGCCCCACAAAGCCACGAAGAAATGGCACATATGGTCGCGATACAATAATATGTGTAACTGTTGTTGACACATGATTGTCATTCCTTTTCCTCTGACACGAAATGACCAATGGAATTACAAGAAATTAAAATAGGAGACGTTGTTTTCAACACATTTGATAAAACGAAAATTATCTTCATAAAATTTTCTTATTACAATTTACAGGAAATATTTTCTCAAATCTCAAGAGAAAATTCCCCAAAAAAAAGAAACGTTTTTTTTTTAAAGAAGTCCTGAATTTCGTGTTCGAGATTTTACTTAACTTTTTTTTTTTTTAAAAACCTGTCATAG